TAACCTTAACTTAAACTCTAACTCAAATATAAAAGAAGTTTTTAACTTAACAACATTTGTTTTCCGAAAATCACGTGACAGTAAAATCGATCCTGCGCCCTGTCAAAATTGCATCATCCATAACAATAAATTTACGTTTATTTTTTATTTTTTTTTTGAATCTTAAGGTGAGGCTAAATTTACGTTTATTGAGTTTATTCGAAGTAAATAAAATGATTAATTTATCGCAACAGATCCGGTATTTTTAATGGGCATGAAATTAGCATTTTACAAAGAGTACGTACGTACGTACGTACTCGAACTAATAATTAATATGGAAAATGCACTACGTACCAGCCTGTTGCTACGTAGTACGTAGTGCGTTTTCCATATTATGCGCCACACATCTTATTCAAATACTTTAATTATTAAGAGGTTTCAGAATTAAAAAAATATGGCGTACCCCGGAAATAAACAGGAGTGCTAAGAAATTGTGCTTCAAAATTTTGAAATCTTTGAAAGTAAATACGTTATCTATTTTATCTACAACAGATTTCATATTGTTAATTATGAAACCCTTCATTTACTACTAGTTATACAAATCAAATAACTTCAGTTCCCGTGGGTACTGGGAAAAAAAACGTTACGTAACTAGTTTTACTTCAAATCATTACCACATAAAATTCCAAATTTTATTTGGTCTTTATAATTCTTAATTTTCCCGGCGAGTATGTGAAGTTATCTGCATATACTTTTTTTCGAAATTCTGGTTCTTCATGTTCTTGAACATAGTAATCCCATCCTACTCGATGAACAGTTCATTTAATTTAATGAAAAATTGAGTAATATATATATATATGCACATTTGATCTATTTAATATTTATAATTTACCTTGCTTTTCTGCAAAAAGAATTGCATCTTCTTTTGAAACAAAGTTCATTCGTAAAGCTTGCATGTAATCAGCACTTAATTGTAAATAAAAAGTGTAAGGATATTTATTATCGCCAAAATAATTTCTTTATATCTTACCTGCTGGTCCATCCCATCAATGGATTTTCCCATGCACCACTAGATCCCATAACATCGAAATCAATTCTCCAATGTCTAGTATTAAATTCTCCTGATTGCATAGCAGTTTTGGAGCGTTTGTAAATTCTCACTGTCCTAAATCGGAGTTCCTCTGATTTTTATATTTAAATTAAATATGAGGTTTGAGATTTATGCATAAAAAAAAAAAGTAATCTTTACCAGGTGCACCGGATATGACATCAGCTGGTATAACTTGTGAAGTTTCAGGCGTTGTTGTAACAGAGCTTTCTTTTGAATCTCGAGTAGCAACAGCCGTCTTTCCAGAAGTAAACCTTTGCAAAACGGGTATCGCAGATCTTATAGTAAGGTGAGAACGTTTTGCGAGAAGTGCGGCCATATTTTTACATTACATTTTATGCAGTATTTTATTATTAATAAATTTATATAATGATCGTTCAATTTATCACGTGATGTGGGCGGAACAAATACTGCCAATCAAACTATATTCTTCTCTATACTCACAAGATGCCGCGTTTTTCCCATTATGAAGCCGCCTTGGGCTCACAATTATTTGAAAAAATTAAAAACTGTCGTGTTTTAATGGTCGGTGCTGGTGGAATAGGCTGTGAGCTCTTAAAGAATTTGGTCATGTCTGGTTTCAATCAAATTGAACTGGTGAATTTCTCTTTTAATTAAAAAAACTTTTTCTATTTATTGTTCTAACCATTTTTTTTAAACTTTTAGGTTGATCTGGACACGATTGACCTTTCAAATTTAAATAGACAGTTTTTGTTTCAAAAGCAACATATTAAGAAATCAAAGGCACAGGTCTGTACACGTCTCGCGTATCAATTCTGGTAAACAGTTCATATTCCCCTGTTTATATGTGTTTATGATCTTGCTAAACATTCTGAAAGGTTGCTCGTGAATCGGCTCTGAAATTCAATCCAAATGCTAACATCGTCGCGCACCACGCTAATATTAAAGACCCTCGATTCAGTATCGAATGGTTTAAAAGCTTTGATATTGTCATGAACGCTTTAGATAATCTCGGTAACGTAAATATCTAAAAATTGTCATTAGTACATCAAGTATAAAATAAGCATAGGAATGAAACTAATCCGATACCGCGTAAATAGATGCAAGGCGCCACGTCAACACTATGTGTTTGGTCGCAAACATTCCGCTGGTTGAATCAGGCTCAGAAGGATACCTTGGGCAAGTGACAATTATAAAAAAAGTAAGTTATGAAAAAAATGAATTTAATATCCATATCTTTGAATTATAGTAATAAAACTTTATGCTTTTTTTGATAAATTAGGGTGAAACTGAATGTTATGAATGTCAACCCAAACCTACCCGAAAAACCTATCCGGTTTGCACAATTCGTAGCACTCCGAGCAGTCCAATCCATTGTATTGTTTGGGCCAAAAGCTACCTTTTCAAGTATATATAATATCATTCATATTTCATTACGTATTTGTTGTTTAATTTAACTTTTTTTTTTAATTTAAATCATTTAGTCAATTATTTGGAATACCTGAAGATGAAGAGGAAGAATTAGATAAAGAACTTAATGATGAGAATGGTACGAATTTTGAAAAGGAATTTCTGTGATTTGAGCATATACAAAGTGATAACATTTTAATGATTGTCTAGCCGATGAAATTGCAAACCTCAAAGCGGAAACGCTTGCGCTTAAACGCATAAAAGAGGCGATAGGATCACAAGATTATCCCAAAATAGTTTTTCAAAAAATTTTTAACGATGACATTAATCGTTTACTAACGATGGAAGATATGTGGAAAACCAGAAAGCCTCCAGTTCCTCTTGTTTATGAAGAAATCGAAAAACTTAAAAATACAGAATCACAATCTGTGCAAATTACTAATAATAATACCTTAAGAGATCAAAGATTATGGAGTTTAACAGAGAATTTTTCCGTATTCATAGACAGGTTTTAAAATTTTAGATAACGGTATTAGTTTTATAGATGATTTGTCCATTACTGATTTTTGCTAAATTTATAGTATTAAAAGATTAAGCACGCGATTACTTGGTGAAAAAGCCACTAACCCGGATGCATCATTGGTCTTTGATAAAGATGACATTGATGCCATGGATTTTGTAACCGCAACGTCCAATCTACGCGCAAGAATATTTGGTATTGAAGAAAAAACACGATTTCAAGTAAAAGGTGGTCAATTATTTGAATATATTGTAAACTTTGTTAATTTTAAATCCAACAATATTCCTTATCATTTTTGCCGAATTAAGCAATGGCCGGAAATATTATTCCAGCTATCGCGACAACCAATGCTATTGTTGCTGGAATGATCGTGATGCAGGCGTTTAAAGTTCTAAATGGTGATTTTAAAGAATGCAAGACAGTATGAGTATATTCCTTTGTATTGCTTGATGCGTCTTTTATGGTGTTTTCTTAAATAGTTCAAAGATATATATATATATATTATGATTAGGTGTATTGTTCTCCAGATCGACGACCGAAATCCATTCTTTCAGAATCTTTAAATAAACCTAATCCGGAATGCTCTGTGTGTCAATCCGCACATGTTACCTTGAATGTGAATGTTAAGACAGCAACTTTACGAGATTTTCTTAAAGAAGTCGTTCAGGGGCACGACGAAAGTGAAAATGACATTTGTGAAGTTTCAGTAGAAGAAGGTGGAAGGTTAGCCGATTTAAAATTTTTGCATATTCTCCTCGCACACGTATTACGTTATATGCATACTTCATTTCATATAGAATTATATACGATGTCGAATATGATGATAATCTTGATGCAACGTTCGAAAAATTAAACATAACCGATGGCAAAATGGTGAAAGTAACTCCTGAAGGCGAGGATGAAGAAAAGTGTCCGACCGTTTTTGCCATTTCTCATAGGTAAGTTAAAGATAATGAACATTAGGCCAGGCCAAGTTAATTTTTTGGTTTTCATAACACCTTTAAAAAATTTTTTTAAGTACATTTACTATCCGGGTGGGTTTTTCTAAAAAATTTTATGTTTTTTATATATAAAATTTTTTAAAAATTTTTGAAAATAAAATTAAAAGCCAGGTTGCCTGGTCACTTTCAAAATTTTATGTTATGAGAACCAAAAAATTAGCTTGGCTTGGCCTTATAAAGCCATCAAACGTAATTTTAATGATTATAACGGATAAATCTTATAGAGAAACATTTGAGTCACCAAATACTTGGTTTCATATTGATGGTGACATAGCACCTAGATTTCGTACATATACTAATTCAAATGCACATAAAAGAAAGCTTGATGATTCTGAGGTTGATCCTCAGGAAGAATCTTCTCGTAAAAGGCCTGCTGTTATTGAAAATGAGGTTATTGTTCAAGACGACGATCTTATAATGACTGAAGATGGGCCTCAAAGACTTATTATTATCGATTAGGTGATTTAAGACTATTTTTATGCAAAGTGAAATCGACCTAATAGCCACGATAAAATAAGCTTGTCAAATGATTTACATATCGATATAATTTTTTTTTTTCAAATTTACTGAGCATGTTTGTATTAAAGATAATTTGATAATCGTTTGATGAATCGCGCTAAAAGCCGGACAGAAATGTGATCGACTTATTCATCAAATAATAATACAGTATAACTATAATGGCTTTGGTGATGACGCCTTGGTACATGAACATTGCGAAAGTAACGCCCGATTTGTTAAATATATTGTATGGAAAAAATTGACGTGACTCTTGCGGGTACGTAACTATAACGTAATTTGGGGTCAATTTTTTGATTGAACTATTATTACGTTTTTATGACTCAGTCGTCCTAGTATCACACAAAAAGATATAGCTGTGATAATTAAGGCTCAGAATCAATAATAAGACATCAAATTTTCACTTGCTGGTACAGTATAACGATAATGCCCCAAGGATTTTACTTATTTGCGTCAGGGACAGTGATTTTCTGTGTTCACAGAAAACCACAGAATTTCTTTCACAGCAACTACAAAAATCGCCATTAGTCACCACAGAATGTCACAGAATTCTACAAAATCCGCAAAATACCACAGAATTATAAAATATTGTAGGGTTGGCCAATAAATTCAGGCCGAGCATCGGGAACTCCCGAAAAGGTTAGACACTAAATTAACGTAAATTACGAGCGTGTTTTTCGGGGAGTTACGGAACTATATGGTTTAGGAAAATTCTGAT